TGAAAAACAAGATGCTTCCGGCAAAACTGCACCGGCTGAAGTTAGTCGCCCCGAATCAGCAGCAAGCGACAGGAAAGCTGAAACTGAAGTAAAATCACCATCGCCTCCCCAAGAAAAAGAATCATCACGACCAGTGTCAAGTGCAAGTGTGGAAAAAATTGAACATGCCTCACCAACACCATCCACAAAGTCCACGGAGGAAAAAGCAGACGATGATAAGTCACCTGAAGACATCCAAAAATCACGTTCTCAGTCAATAGCAAGCGAAAAAGTGGACATTTCTGGTAAAACTACTCCATTGCCAGTCAGTCGACCCGAGTCTGCTGCCAGTAACATTAGTGCAAAGGATGCAGTAATTACAAAAACAACGGCTGACTTGATTGAACCTATCAGCTGTGATGAACAGAAATCACACTCTCCATCGCTCAAAGAAGAACTGATTGAGGAAGAATCCACAGCTTCCAAGATCGTTTCAATTGCAAGCGCAATTGATGTACAGAAAGACACCGAAAAATCGCCAGTTAAGGATGAGGCAACAACCAAAACAATTACAACAATTAAATCTGAGGTAAAAGACGAATGCATTGTTAGTTCCACTTTTGTTGAACAAATTGTGAAATCGCCTAGTCCTCCATCTGAGGCGATTAAGAAGGATTCATTCGACAAAGCCGATGATCAAAGTGTTTTGAAAGGTGACGTATCGCGACCGGGATCGGCAGCAAGTGATATCAGCTCGAAGGATGGCCAAAAATCGCCAGTTGTTTCTACAGAAAAAGAACAAATCACAACGAAATCGGAATCTCGTAGTCAATCCATTGTGAGTGTCATTAGTGAAGAGAAAGAAGAAGATGAGAAATCGACCAAAATCGCGTCACCAAGCCCTCCCGAGAGTGTGAAAAGAGATTCTTTTGAAAAGGTTGATGACAAAAAATTGAGTGTTAGTGAAACATCACGACCCGAATCGGCAGCAAGTGACATTAGTTCAAAGGATCAAGCACCATCGTCGAATCGACCAACCAAAGAAGAGTCGTCGGCAACTAAAGTGGAATCGCGAAGTCAATCCGTTGGAAGCGAAGAAAAAGTTGAGATTGTAGAAGCACACCAAACACGTTCACAATCAATTGTGAGTGAAAGACAAGATGCTTCCGGCAAAACTACACCGGCTGAAGTTAGTCGCCCCGAATCAGCAGCAAGCGACAGGAAAGCTGAAACTGAAGTAAAATCACCATCGCCTCCCCAAGAAAAAGAATCATCACGACCAGTATCAAGTGCAAGTGTGGAAAAAATTGAACATGCCTCACCAACTCCACTCATAAAGTCCACGGAGGAAAAAGCAGACGATGATAAGTCACCTGAAGACATCCAAAAATCACGTTCACAGTCAATAGCAAGCGAAAAAGTGGACATTTCTGGTAAAACTACTCCATTGCCAGTCAGTCGACCCGAGTCTGCTGCCAGTAACATAAGCGCAAAGGATGCAGAAATTACAAAAACAACGGCTGACTTGATTGAACCTATCAGCTGTGATGAGAAGGCAAAACAAAAAGATCAACAAGTTGGAAAATTATCAAGTCCACCAACTGGAGCAATCAAGAGAGAATCATTGCAAAAAGCTGACGGAGATAGTGTTTCAAAAGGTGACATATTACGACCTGAATCGGTAGCAAATGACATTAGTTCGAAGGATCAACCACCATCTTCGGCTCTACCAACCAAAGAAGAGTCGTCGGCAACTAAAGTGGAATCGCGAAGTGAATCTGTTACAAGCGTTGTAAGCGAAGAAAAAGTTGAGATTGTAGACGCACAACAATCACGTTCACAATCAATTGTGAGTGAAAAACAAGATGCTTCCGGCAAAACTGCACCGGCTGAAGTTAGTCGCCCCGAATCAGCAGCAAGCGACAGGAAAGCTGAAACTGAAGTAAAATCACCATCGCCTCCCCAAGAAAAAGAATCATCACGACCAGTGTCAAGTGCAAGTGTGGAAAAAATTGAACATGCCTCACCAACACCATCCACAAAGTCCACGGAGGAAAAAGCAGACGATGATAAGTCACCTGAAGACATCCAAAAATCACGTTC